CCCGGAATGCTGACGCACCCCTGATCAGGCAAGGTCTCTTCTTTACCATTCTGTAATAGATCCTGCCTAAAAGAAAGCCGGGCTTCACTGCTATGGACGATGGCCTTCAGACAGTCATTTTGGCCTGTTGGTACTCGATGTTCCAGAAAGATGAATGATGATGAGAGGCTCTGGATGGCCAGCCTATGAATTTCCATAATATAATTCCACTCCAGCTGCATCCAAACATCCCATTGCAGGAACATTTATTTTAAAATAAAAAAGATCACATGTTCTTGGGTTTTACCAACTAGGCTCTACCTGCCGAGTGGGAGCCACAAAGAGGAAAATGTCAGTTATACACCATCATTTCTCCGGGGGCTCGGCAAACAGGCATGGCTACCAAAGGTGTGGCGTGTGATGATAATCCTGCATGTGTGACACCCAAACACACGCACTGCAAGTGGAGGGAGAAAACTGCTCTTTCTTCAGGGCAGAGGAGCAGCCTCACACACAATTTAAGATTTTCTGCCAACAAGGATTTAACTTGCTAACAGGATGCCAACAGTGATTCAGACTCTGTGACATGCGTGTCTATGTGCTTATTAGCTAAATTACAGCAAACCTAACTGATGATATGTTGCTTATTAGATAACAAAAACAGAAAATGATTCAATGACAAGCAAATGGGTTGTTTCTTGTGACAATATTCAGCCGAACCAATGAATAAAACTGCTAGTTGACCAATCATTGACAAACAGAGAAATCTGTGTTACAAAGCTCACTGAGACATAATTCATAATTTTCTTGTCAATGCATTAGTTCTGATTTACTACACATCCGTCCATTTTCTGTAACTACTATCCTGTTCAGGGTCATGGGGATGGGAGTGTCTGGAGCCTGTTCCAGAGGCTTGGGGCACAAGGTAGGGAAGAAGTCACGATGGGGTGGCAACCCATCGAAGAGCACACTTGCATACCATTCACTCACACATGCACACCTATGAGCAATTTGATAACTCCAATTCACCTCAGCGTGTTTTTGTACTATGAGGGGAAACTGAAGTACCTGAAGGAAACCACATGACGATAAAGGAGAAAATGCAAACTCTACACACATGGAGCCATGGCAGAGACTGATCCCAGATGCATGAGGCAACAGTGATAACCACTACACCACCATGCCAACCCACACTTAAACATAAGAATGCAAGAATGCTATTAACAGTGCCATGCACAGACCTTTTCAAGGGCAGGTGCTGGAAGAGGGAGGTGTGTGTGGCTTAGGGTCAATTTTTGCAGGCCAGGGGTCCCCCTTGGTAATTTTTGCATGAATATCAGTTATCAAGAAGGGGCACTTACAGCCTCAAAAGAGTTAGGCGAATGATCTGTTTTCTGTGTCTGTTCCTCGTATTCCCCAAAAGACATCAGCCAACCAGGCTGTCATCATTTGACCCACATAATATGTCCTCTCTTCAGGATCATGGGGGGTCTGGAGCCTATCCTGGAGGTGATAGGTGCAGAATGCAAGGCAGGGAGCTACCCAGGATGGAGCACCAATCCATCACAGAGCACACTCAGACACCAGTCTTGCTTACTCACACACAATTTGGTAACTCCCGTTAATCTCAGCATGTTTTTAGACAGTGGGGGGAAACTGGAGTACCCAATGGAAACCCACAACAACACAGGGAGAATAAGCAAAGCAGCAAACTCCACACACACACAGCCATGGCAGAGACTTGAAAGCTAGTCCCAGAGTTGTGGGGTGATCAGGTTAACCATTGCGCCACCATACTGCCCCAACAGTAACACATAAATAAGCAAAACCAGCAAAAAAATTCCATAAGTACAATTTTGGCAAAGTCAGGGTTTGTGGAGGAGGAAAGAAGTATACATCAATGGGAATCAGAAGGACTGGCCAAAACCCCCTAACAGGAAGACGGAGGATCCACTATTTTATCTGTGACGCCTTTATTAACCCTCATCCCTTTAAATGCACTTCTCAGGACAAATGACAAAGCAGCCAGGATCACAGGGCAGTTATTTATCAGGAATTCCACTGCAGCTGCCAGGCCAGGAAGCTGCTAAGTGATCTAACAGTCGAGAAAATGGAAAATTACCACTGCAGACGTGGAAAAAAAATGACCTATCATAGCAAAGCATATTTATATTAAACAACAGCAATAACAATAAAAACAAACCTGATTATTATTCAGAACATATTATCCTATTATTTCGGTGTAGGGTTAGAAAATGGAGAATCAGAACTTGGGTATGATCATAAACCGAGACATGAGCATTTTATATTTTCAAGCATGATTTGAAGAGCTCATACAGTTTCTAAGTACATGTATATCATGGCTAACATGAAATGTGGCTTAGTGTGAGGGGCACAGCTGTGACCCCACCCCCATCTCATTTAAAATCATTGGAGGAGGGTGTCTTTTTCTCCCTCCTACCTCTATAGAGCTGGTTCTTTTATCACACCGACAAAAGGATAGCAAATTGCATTCTCTGCTTGCATTTCCATGGACGTCAATATAAATTTCATAAACGTGATTTGACACCACGGCTGACTCTGTCTCCGAATTTGACAGGCTCAGAATAATGGCTGCTTTTAATAGTACACAAAATCCCAATGGTGTCCCCACATCAAAGGGGCATTTCAAATCACTGGCTCCATGACGCAAGGAGAAACATTTTAGGGACAGACCAGAAATTATCAACAGAAGCTTGAAAAAAAAATGATGTAAAGATAGATGACCACACCTCATTTTCTGATTATTTTAAATGCAGAGAAAAAGACGAACCCCTCACATTACTATCTGATGCCATAAAGCAAATGACTCATGCAACTAAACAGAGGTGACAGTTAACTGAGAAGTCGACAATGGCAGAAAGAGGCTGCCACAACCACGTTATTACACAAAAAAATCCACAAAAATCTAAGGTCAAGGATCCAGTAGTGGACCAAAGCAAATAAGGAATCCAATGAAAAATCTGACCTTGTGTTATAAACATAATTTACCACAAACCAATTTTAACCTAAAATATATCAGACAGACAGACAAAAAAGACAATGAAACACAGCCAATGTAATTTCATCTCTCCAGCTGCTCTTTACAACACTGTTATTGGTCTTTGAATACAACACATGCTGTGAATGTTAACAAGAAATACGTCTCAGATAAAAAAAACATCCCTGTACATTTGCAGAACTGCAGGCCATCTAAAATGGCCATATTGTAAATTGATCATGAACAAAGCAGGAATAGCTACATATATAAACAAAGACCCATATTTCTTCCTGATATATTTCCAGAATATTTCTTTTCTACATAGATGATTTATTTTTCTACAGTATTGATTTATTTTTTGTGTAATGATTGCTTGAGACTGTTTGTCTGCTACTTAATGGATTTAATGTACATTAGAAAGTACCTCAATTACCTAACATATCACTAAAAAAAGGTACCCCACTTTTGCAGTCATGTTAGGTTGTATTCATAAAAATATTAAAAGGTTATTTTGAATGGCTGCTTAATAATCATTGGCGTGACCATTAAAAACAGAACAACTAAAACTAATTCAACCTCCATATTAGAAGATCAGGAATTTCAAAAACAATCTAGATGTTACACTATTGACAAGTCTAAATAAGCAAAACTAAGAATTTATCAAATGTCAGCTGTCCTTGGGAAGAGATTAAATGTTTTTGCAAATATAACCCACAAAACAGGCCATGCCTCTCCATTTAGTAAAACTGATTTAAAATGTTTAACCAATTTATCAGCTTAAAACCCCATGATAAAAACCAATGACAATTCACTTGTCTACTACTGTTTACTACATCTGTTTTGTATTTCTTGCTCAGAAAACGTTTCTAAGTCAGTGCATGTTTTAAATTATTTTGTTATTTCACTACTGATTCTGATTTGTCTGCTTAAGAGGCTCTTTCGGGTGGCACTATCAATGCTGTGAACAAAATATTATTACTTATTATTTATTATTTATTTTATCCCCTTTACATTTTGCAACATAACATTGAGAACAATGCTTCCGTAGACCTTTAAGAAAATTCAGTCCAAAAATTCTAGTATATTCCAATAAAAGCCATATTGTTTCAAGGGACTGAGCTTAGGACCATGACATTGGCGTTGAGGATACAGAACCCACACCGTACCAGCTGACTGCAAACAGACCCCTCTCCATGGTGCTGAAGCGGTTGCCCAGGTGACATGTTATCAAGGGTAGGCTGCATGCAACTGAACTGCTCAAGTGTCATTATTACTTTTTATATTAGCCCTCTAGCTTTGCTAAAATGTATGTGTCCATTAAATTCTAGATAATACTTCCCATTAAAACACACACAAACACCACAAAACCATAATGTTTCAACTGATGAACTAATTACAACGACTTATATAAAATGACGTGTGCTATATCGGAATCCACTAAAAACATTCATACTGTGCTAAAGGTTGACTTAATACACAAAGTCAGTCGGCTTAGTACCTCGTAGTTACATTAAGAAAATTGTTGGTGATCTACATCCTCATACTCTTAAATCATTTATAAAATTCAGACTTCATCTACCTCAATCATCTATGCTTTTTACATACTGCTATGATATTTTAAGTATGCAGATCGACACCTTCGACGGAGCTCCACTATATTTTGTAATATAGTAATATTATACTGCATTTTACAGTAATACAGTAGCTAGCCTAGCTATGTTCACTGTAAGAGCTACTGTATCTTACTTCTGTCAGCCGGTCCCTTAATAAATTTCTGCAAGTCTAACAGTATTTTTGTTCAAGTCGGGTCAGTTAAAGACAGCGGTGAATTACAGCTCGCTTTCAGCACAAAGACAGCGAAAGTCGCTCTACTAATGATCTCGCTTCGGTGCGTTTCCAGCGATGCCAGCACCTACAAAGCGGGCAAACGTCGGGACGTACACGGCGCCCGGGAGCACGCGAGGAAAACGGGAGAAATACGCGGAACGTAAACATTTCTTACCGTAATAAAATACACCGAAGTTTTCCAGGTTCCCCCGCCCCGACGAATGGTTCCCGTTTCTCCGGTGTTAACACGATGTATCCTCCCTCGGAGTTAAACCGAGGTGTGGGAGCAGCGGAGCCCGATTGCCGTTAAAGGTAAAGCGTCGCTCTTCAGCGCCGAGGATCTCACGAGCGGCCGCTCATTCCGCCAGCCTCTGAGCGAGCGCGGCGCGCGCCACACGCACCGCCGCGCGCGACACTGACACGCGGACCCAGGGCATTCCAGGTGCTGAGCGCCGCGCGCGATGTGTCCTTCGCAGACCCTGGCTGCAGAATGCATTCAAACCTTTACTGACGGGGAAGCCGGGTTGCACACGTCACTGCATCTTAACAGTATCCGCCCAACTTAACAAATACAACCACAGGGTTGTATTTTTGGTAGCCGTTCCATCACTGGAGACATTTTGTCAATGGATGAATTTAACCGTACCTTGGATCCCATAGCTGACTGAAAGCTGCACAACGTTCAACTGCGAGTTTGATTTAATTGCTGGATATTATATAATTGCTGGATATGGTTCTGATTTTTTCCTGAGCACATTGTATTTTTTTGTGATATAGACGACAAGCTATGCTGGTAGCCTATCTACTAACAGCCAATAAGATCTTCATAGCAAAAACACTGCACGACTCCATCAGACACATTTCTAACCCCAGTGCATGGGCATGTGTGTGAGCGTGTGTATACACTAACCTAAAGGATTATTAGGAACACCTGTTCAATTTCTCATTAATGCAATTATCTAAT